GATTTCTCGCTTTCTGTCTCTCTGTCTCTCTCTGTCTTTCTGGCGAGCGAATGCGCCCTATAGCAAAAACCTCTCCCAAAAAAAAAAAAAAGATGTAATGGACTGTTACTTGTTATTTGCAGAGCAATTTATAGGTTACTGGTTTGAATGGCTTTATTTTACATTTTCTTTGCTACCTATTGAGCAATGACCAGTATCTTCTGCTTCATCACTTGGGGTGACCTTTAGAGTCACATAGACAATACGTTCGCTGAAAGTCAGGGAGTAGCTACCTTAGTCTTACAGAGTCGATCTTTGCCTGTAATGTGCAGGTTTCCAGCCTGGTTATGTTGCCTGGCCCCAGAGTTGGATGCTTGGAGAACCTTCACTGGTCTAGCCAGCAGAAACTGTGCTGACCGTCAGGACAAGGGAAGGCTAAGCTGCCCTTCTGGCAGGGATCCAGACAGAAAACATCGGTTGTAAGGCTGAGTGCTGGCTGCAGTGCCTTGTTCCCTGTCTTCAATAGGAAACGTCCCTGAGATTTGCACAAGCTGTAACTACTGACTGTGGACACCAGGGGGCACTCTGGACCCACCACTGGGCAGGTGTAGGTGCCATTGTCCACAGCTTTGAATAGCCTGGCCCTGCAGGTTGTGTGAGAACCAAGTGAACTTGGGCACACAGATAACAGGCCACAGAGACAGGCCTGCCCTTCAGGTCGCCCTTGACCTCCTTGCTCCCTCAGCCACTCAGGCCAGTGAGAGCTCTTCTGGGGTTCCTGATGAAGAGGTCCAAGGTGGCTGCAGACATGTTGGGAGAATGTTAGCTGCCTGTGCTCTGGGGAAGGTGCACTGTGTGCCTGTTGTCACCTGCGACATGTGAAATCGGAGGTGACACTGATGCCGCCTGCTTAATGTTGGTCAAAGACCAGATGGGCGGTTCTATGACAGCCATGGGTGGCTGAGGTTAGAATCACTGTCCTGAGTCTGGGCCTCCAGGACCTCAGGGCCTTCCCAGCTCCACTGGGTTCTCGTCCAGCCGGGTTCTAATGGCACGTGCCTGGTACTCCGGCCTGGGTCTGGCCCTGCGCTTCCCGGTGTGCTGAGCAACTACAGCCCTTGAGGAACCACAATCCCAATTTGTGATTTTCATGTTAGTAGCAGCCTTTAAACTTTGTAATTCAAATCTGTGGTTTCCTTTGTGATATTTGTGAACAGAACTTTTATATTATTCGCTGCCTACTTAAGATTAAAGATTATATATTGATTTTTTAATAGCGGAAATGAGAAAACAGAGGGAGTTCTATCACAAATTGGGCATGGAGGTGCCAGGAGACATCAAAGGGGAGACTTGTTCTGCAAAACAACACTTAGATTCCCATCGGAATGGTGAGTAAACCTGTGTGTGCTCATCAAGAAAGGCATTAGGTCTTTTCTTGCAAAGCTCACTCTGTCTGCCAGCTCACTGTGCCACCTCTCGGGTAGTTTATATTAGAGAGTAACAAAGTCTCGATGGGTTCGTGGGCAGGTTATGACTTGAGGTATCCCTCGTCAGTCCTGGGGGAATGTGGAGCAGAGCTGAGCAGTGGGGACCATGAACAGGAGAGGTCAGTGTTGGGGATGAGGGGACAGCAGGAGGGTCCCACAAAGTGTCTGGGAGTCAGGGGTGAGAAGCTTTGGAAGAAGTAGTAGAAAATGAACTTCCTAAGATGTTAACTTTGGGGCCAGCAGGTGGTGTGGTGGTTAAGGTGCTGGATTCCCACATGGCCGACCGCAGTTCAAGTCCTGGACCTGGTGGCTTGCTTTCTCTCTCTCTCGTCAAATTTAATAATAATAATAAAATATAATAAATAATACTTTAAGAAAAATATGTTAACTTTGCTTGTTTTACTGTAAAATAGCTAAATAACAATTTGGTTTGGATATAAAGTTAATGACATTTTAAGTCTCCCTGTATCATAACAAATTATCTAAATCTTTGAGTCTGTGGTATTTTTCTAGTGGCCCACACAAATTCCTAAGAAAGTTTTTCTGTATATCCCTAATCTGAGGAGAAATAAGAAGCCCCTGGATGTTGCCTTTGTGAATATTGGACCACTGCTATCTCTGACAGAACTGCAGGTCTCCGGGGAACCGAGGCCACAGGAGGCAATTTGGAAATGTGTCTGAGAATCAAAGAATCTTGTCCTGTTTTCCCTAAGGAGATGCTCTCATTTCAAAAGCAGTGCTAGTGGTCCAGCCCTGTAGTACAGTGATTAGGGGAGCCAAATCCCACATGACTAACTATGGTTTGAATCCCGGCCCCAGCAACTTGAAAAACACAGCACATTGAGGCCAGCAGGTGCTGGACTCCCACATGGCTGACCACAGTTCAAGTCCTGGACCTGGCAGCTTGCTTTCTCATTCTCTCTCTCTCTCTCTCTCTCTCTCTCTCTCTCTCTCTAAATCTCCCTGGTAAATTAATAATAATAATAATAAAATTAAATAAAGGAATTCTTAAACAAATAATAACTAAAAAAAAAAAAAACCCTAAAATCCCAACAGGATGGAAAAATGGAGGCCAGCCAGATGGCATGGTGGTTCAGGCATCAGTGTCCCACCTGGCCAACTGTCGGATTTGGGTCTCAGCCTTTGTGGCTTGAAAACATACTGGGCATGTGTGTGTATGTGCCCAAAATCCTGAGAAAAGAATCAAAGAGAAGAGAATACAGCATGGCCATCCCCCCAGAGGGATGCCTTCTCTCTCTCTCTCTCTCTCTCTCTCTCTGTCTCTTTCCAGCAAGTTCATTTACCCTATAGCAAAACTAAAAAGAAAAAGGAAAAGAAAAAAAAAAAAGATGGAGAAATGGAGGAGAAGGGATTATGGTGTAACCATGCCCTGTTGTGGGGGGTGCTTCCCCCCCTCCCTCTCTCTGTCTCTTTCTGGCAGGTGCACGTGTCCTCTCTCTGGCAACAACAACAAAAATAGCATTAGAATAATTAAACTGTAGGATCCAGGCTTTATTTAATGAGTGGGTTGGGGTGGTCAGTACTGAGTAGCTGAACAGCTTGGCCAGTGGGTAGGGCAGTGGGCAGGTTATCTGTGTCCCTTTCAGCATTTCAGTTTCTGTCTGTCTTCTGTGCCCCCGACACAGACACCCACAGACCCATGTGCACCTGGCCTCAGCTTCTTTAGGGAGACTCCCTAATGAGAAAGAATGCTATGTTTTAACACATGCTGTACAATGGTTTATCTTTGCTCTTTATGGTCCAAATCCTCTTAGTGGAGTGAATATTTTATAGTATTTTGAGAACTGAAGCATTTTTAAAACTCACTTTAACATTTTGGAGTTCATAACACATTATTTGGTTTGTGCCACAAGGTGAAACCAAAGCAGATGACAGTTCAAACAAAGAGACGGCGGAAGAGAAGCAGGAAGAGGACAATGATTACCATAGAAGTGATGAGCAGGTGGGTAACATTCGGTTTCTGTAAACTTTGTAAAATTATTTTGGTATGGGGACCAGCAGATGGCATAATGGTTACGTCACTGGACTCCAATGTAGTCAACCGCAGTTCGAGTTCTGTACCTGGTGGCTTAAACTCACGCTGGGCACGTTTGTGTGCATGCCCAAGATCCCGAGGGAGAATGGAGGAGAAGGGATTGCTGCAAGGTCACCTTCTGGGGGGCGATTTCTCGCTTTCTGTCTCTCTGCCTCTCCAGCGAGCACATGCTTGCATTTTACAGTATGTTTCATAAAGTCATAACGGAAAGTGAAATATACTAGACAACTTCCCTTTGGATGTTTTCTCCATTTAAAGAGAAAAAGGCCAGGCCTGCTCTGTGGCACAGTGGTTAAGAGCTGTGTGGTGGGAACTTGATCCCACATGGCTGCCCATGATTTGAATTCCAGCCCAGGCAGCTTGAAAACCCTGCCAGGCATGTGTACCTGCCCAGAACCCTGAATAGGATGGAGAATGGAGGAGAAGGGACTGCACTGTGACCGTGCCCTGTTGGGGGTGGCTTTCTGTGTCTCTGTGGTGAACACGAGCATCCTCTGGCAGTTAACAAAGGAACAAAGAAAGGAAGGAAGGAAAGGGGAGTAGAGGAGAAAAGGCCAAGGGGGGAAGAAGATGGAGACACCACGATTTCACTTCATTTTAGTTTTCTTCATCTCAGTTCCGTACTTTATCTGTCTTCCTTCCTATTACCAGAGTGACATGTAAACATCTGTAGACATCTTGGACATGAAAAAGCACAGGTCAGCCCTGGGTCCTAATCTCCATGCCAACTCCAGGTTTTCACTGTTAACGATTTCACGGCTATTCTTCTAGGTGCTTTTCTGTACCTGTGCAAATGTTATGTAAAAGGAAATGCAGTCCAGTAGTACATTCAAAGGAAAGTAAAAATACACCCTTGAGCAATCCATCCATGTGCCATTCACTATTAGATAAAAAAGGAAAAGCTGGGCTGGCAGGTGGCATGGCGGTTAAGGGTGCTGAATTCCCACACGGCCAACCACGGTTTGAGTCCCAGACCTGGCAGCTTGCTTTCTCACTTGCTCTCTCTCTTGCTCTGTCCCTCTCTGGTCAAATTTAAATAAATAAATAAAGTTTGAAAAATAAAATAAAAAGGAAAAGTAATCACAGATGCCATAAAAGAATTTAGTAAAATATCCTATCCATATCTATAGAACTTTTCAATATAGTATCTTCATTTGAAAACTGTTACAGTCATTGGGACCAGCAGATGGCAAAATAGTTAAAGTTGCTCAACTCCAGCATAGACAACCATGGTTCAAATCCCAGACCCATGTGCCATGTGCATGTGTGTGCATGCCCAAAACCCTAAGAGGAGAATGGAGAAGGGATTGTGGTGTGGCCATCCCCCCTGGGGAGTGATTTCTGCCTTTCTCTGTCTCTCTGGTGAGTGCAAGCACTATATAGCAAAATTCTCTAAAAAAGAAAGAAAGAAAAGTATTACAATCATCATACTTTATGATGAAACTGAATTGTTGTCTTGTTAAAATCAAAAGCAGGAAAATCCCCATTATTGACTGTTAGTCATCACGATTTTGGTGGTCCTAGCCCACACAATGGAGAAACAAAAAAATGAGATAATGTACGTTAGAGACCAAAATGCCATTATTCTCAGATATCGTTGTCTTGCATAAAAGTTAAGCCAATGAAGTGAAAAACCGTTGGAATTCAGGTGTAGGGGGAGAGTGTGCAGAGGGATCTTAGGTTAACAGATGTTTCTGGTTGGAAGGATTGGTGTTAATGTCAGCTGTCCCAAATTACCTTGGTGGTTGTGATCCCAACAGTTAATTATGGAATTTAATCACTAGCTCTGGGGCTCATCTGGGAGATGAATGTTCAAAAAATAGCCATGAGGGAACCAGCAGTTAGCGTAATGGCTATGTCGCTGGACTCCCACGTAGTCGACCGCGGTTCGTGTCCCGGACCCGGTGGCTTAAAACTCACGCCGCGCACGTGTGCGTGCGTGCCCAAGATCCCGAGAGGAGAATGGAGGAGAAGGGATTGCGGCGTGACCATCCCCCCTGGGGGGTGATTTCTCGCTTTCTGTCTCTATGTCTCTCTCTGTCTGGCGAGCGCACACGCCCTACAGTGAAAATCTCTCCAAAAAAAAAAAAAAAAGTAAAAAAAAAAAAAAAATAGCCATGAGATCTTTGTAGAAACTATGGTGGGGATTGGCTTTAACAGCTGACATAACAACCAGAATAATGCAGTTTGGGCACAAGAATAGACTAATGGACTCTTCATTTTTCAGTTTATACTCATATACTTCTGTAGTGTTCAAAAAATAATAATAATCAGTAAGTAGGCACTGTAGAAATAGAAACATCTATGGGAATGTCGGGTTGGTGAAGTTGTTTTTCCAGTTGGTGGAGAAGAATGAACAGTTAGCGAAGGCTCCCACACTTCAGGCAGGAAATAACCCCCCTTTATGTGTGTGTATATATTTATATATATATGTATGTATGTATGTGTGTATGTATGATTTCGTCCTGCCGGCTGTGGGTTTGGATGGTTTAAGTCTCAGAGGCAGTGTGAGCTGTAGGCCCGGAAGACTCCTCCCAGAATCATGTCACTCCAGGCCCCTGTGGGTGATGACCTGTGTACGTGCTCTTGCCTCTTTCTGGGCCAGCCTTTGTTAGCTGCGTGTCCTCTCACAGGGCTTCCTCACTGAGGAACCACTTCAGAGCACTTCAGGAGGGAGATGTGGGGTCAGCCTGGTGGGAGCTCCAGGCAGGTGGCAGCTGTAGGCCCTAGACCGCTCAATACAAGGGCTAGCTCGTCTTTTTTTTTCAGTGCTTTAGGGCACATGGGTTTGTCAGTGAGAGGGGGAGGGGGAAATGGCTATGCCACAATCCCTTCTCTTTTTCCTCAGGATTTTAGGAATGCATGCACACGTGCCCATGGTTTTCAAGCCACTGGGTCAGTACTCAGGCTGCAAAGTCGGCTATGTAAGATCTAGCACCTTAGTCACCACGCCACTTGCTGGCCTCTAGGTTGTCATTCTTTGGGTTTTCTATAGATTCTCCTCCAGTTCAATCTCTTTTGCAGTTCAAAATGTTTCCAGTGTTTACTGTTACTAATTTTTACCCCTTTCCCCCAAAACATGCCAAACATGTCTGTTTTATGAGTTGCTTTCAATAAAGTCACTTTTTGGGGACCAGCAGTTAGTGTAATGGCTGTGTCGCTGGATTCCCATATAGTTGACCGCAGTTCGGGTCCCAGACCCAGTGGCTTAAACTCACGCTGGGTGCTTGTGCGTGCGTGCCCAAGATCCCGGGAAGAGAATGGAGGAGAAGGGATTGCAGTGTGGCCATCCCCCCAGCGGGTAATTTCTCACTTTCTGTCTCTCTGTCTCTCTCTGGTGAGCGCATGCGCCCTGTAGCAAAAGCCTTTCCCAAAAAAGTCACTTTTTGTAACTGATGGGGTATTTAATTATCTTAAAGCATTTATTTATTTTTCTGCCATCTTGAGTTAAAACTTTTGCTTCTGGGGACCAGCAGTTAGCATAATGGCTGTGTCGCTTGTCTCCCATGTAGTCGACCATGATTTGAGTCCCAAACCTGGTGGCTTAAACTCACGCTGGGTGCTTGTGCGTGCGTGCCCAAGATCCCGAGAGGAGAAGGGATTGCGGCGTGGCCATCCCCCCTAAGGGGTGATTTCTCACTTTCTGTCTCTCTTTCTGTCTGTCTTTCTGGCGAGCACACACGCCCTATAGGAAAAATCCTCTAAAAAAAAAAAACCAAACAAACAGATGTTTGCTTCTATGTTCTTAGTCTTTTAAAAACATATTTAACGTCATGTTTCCCTGTATACTTTTTCCTTTTTTCTAAGTTTATTTATTTATTTCCTCCATGTACAAGAGACAGACAGATAGCACCCCCAAAGGGGTCTTGATGCCTCAGTCCCCCCACCCCCAACCTTAACCAGCACTGGATCCCAGCAAAGCTCCTGCCCAGCATACTCAGGGAGGTCTCTAGTGTTGGAACCTTCCATGTGAGACCGCCTCACAGAGCATTGTGTTTTATAAATGCACCATCACCCCCACCCCCGTGCTTTTGGCAGAACCCCTCAGACTTTGATAAGTGACACACTCACTGGCCCTCAGTTCTAAAGAGGCAATGATATTGGCTCGGCAGAAAAGTTAGGACATGTTTTTGCGTAGAAAAATACGTCATGACTTTCCCAATGAGCTAATAATAATTCCTTTTTAATCATGACATATGTTCTCAAATACCCAAGTGAAGAAGCCTCTTTTCACTACCAATTTGCTCTTAATTTCTTGACTCCTTCCCATAGCAGTCAGCAAATGCTGTCTATGCCTGCTTTTGGGGTCTGAGACCCTTCCTGTTGTCTGTCGGGGCGCAGGCTTTCCATGTTAGGAGCCTCTTTTCATGTTGTTGGGTTTGACTCGTGGTTGTTAGACGTGCGGCCCCGGAGGCCAGTCTCCTTACCTCCTGGCCCTGCTGTCAGCCAGTGCATGAGCTTCATTAACGACTGACTTCTCTGTCCCTTGATCTCCTCATCTGTGAAATGAAGGCACTAATAACATCTGCCTCTGCGTTCGTGTGAGGATTAAATTTAAATTTCGTAAAGTACATAGAGACGTTAAATTGAGTAAATAAATGATAAAGTAAGCAGTCAAGCCACAGAGATAGTTAATTTAGATACTGTCTTTCTTCTTCTTTAATTTTTAATTTTTTTTTTTTCACATAGGGCACATGCGCATACCAGAGAGGGGAGAGAAAGAAAGACAGTGAGAGGAAAAGCAAGGAATCCCCCAGTAGGGATGGCCAATCTCAATCCCTTTCCTCCCTTCTCCTCCTGGGATTTTGGGCATATACGCACACGTACCCAGCATGATTTTCAAGTTGCCAGGTCTGGGACTTGAACTGTAGTTGACCATGTGAGAGTCCAGCACCACTTGCTGGCCC